AAGACCCCTGGGAAGCCCGTGCAGGAGTCTTGGTTAGTATTGCATCATCACCTGAAGAGCTACTTCCCTGTTCTGTGTGGAACTCATTCCAACAGCGCCACCGTGTGATTGCAAGAAGCAGACGCAAGAGTGAACCGAGAAGGTTCCTGCGCTATGGCCGCTTGGGTGTGGAAGCCGTTAACCCTTTGGGGACTGCATTGAGCCTTAAAGTTGTTGGACGATTCCAGAAGTAGAGAAGAGCTTATAGGCAGGAGATTCTGGACTTCTGCTAATAATTCATATGGGTATACACAAAATTGTTAGGAAAAATAAGACAGATAACAGTGCGTGTACCTTGAATTTGTGAAGCATTTTCTATTGGATGTTATTATCACAAATAGCACAGCTGTACGGTAATTTTACACTTTATATATCTCTATAGTTGAACTTGTATGGGAATTTGTATTCGTTTTCTGTTGCTACCGCAACCTTAGTGGTTTCAACAACACAAACTTATTACCTTACAGTTCGGTACGTCAGAACTGACATGGGTCTCACCAGGCTAAAATCAAGTCATTGGCGGGACTGTTACTTTCTGGAAACCCTAGTGGAGAACACACTTCCTTGTTCGTTTGAATTTCTGATATAATTCAGTTTCTTGTATTGTGGAACTGAGATGGTTTCTGGCCGTGGGCTGAGAGTTATTCCCAGAGTCTAGAGGTCACACACATTTTTATATTTTTTATTTTATTTTTGAGACTGAGTCTCCTCTATCGCCCAGGCTAGAGTGCAGTGGCACAATCTCGGTTCACTGCAACCTCCGCCTCAGCAATTCTCGTGCCTCAGCCTCCCAAATTACAGGCGCCTACCACCATACCCGGCTAATTTTTGTATTTTTAGTGGAGACAAGGTTTCACCATGTTGGCCAGGCTGGTCTAGAACTCCTGACCTCAAGTGATCCGCCCGCCTCGGCCTCCCAAAGTTCTGGGATCACAGGAGTTAGCTAGGGCACCCGGCCCACATTTCTTCCTCTGCCTCAAAGTCGCAGTGTTGCGTCCAGTCCTACTCACAGAGAATCTCTCTTACCTCTTATACCCTGTTTCCACTTTTAAGGATTCATGTGATTAGATTCTAGGACCCTCCCAGATAAACCAGGATAATGTCTCCATCTCAAGGTCCTTAACCTTGATCATATTTGCAAAGTTTTTGACATGTTAGGTAATATATTCACAGGGGATTAAGTTGGGGACATCTTTGGGAGTCCGTTATTCTCCTTATTTTGAGGTTTTTTTAATATTTAAAAATATAGTCTTTAAAAAAAAAAACTCCAGTGAACAAATGTTTATTTAGAAGGATTTTTACAGACAAGAGTCTTACTTTCAAAAAGCAGAGGAACCACTTTTATATTTTTATTTTTTATATGTAAAAATATAGTCTTTGTTGGAGAGTACATGGAGAAAAGGGAAACTTGCACGCTGTTGATAAGAATATAAATTAGTACAGCCATTATGGAAAAGAGTCTGGAGGCTTCCCAAAAAATTGAAAATAGAACTACCATATGATCCAGCAATCCCACTACTCTGCATGCTTCCAAGGGATATGAAATCAGTATGTCAAAGAGGTATCTGCACTCCAATGTTCATTAACAGCGTTTTTCACAATAGCCAAGTTATGAAATCAACCTAAGTGTCCATAAACAGATAAGTGGATAGAGAAAATATAGTATCTATACACAATGGGACACTATTCAGTCTTTAAAAATAAGGAAATTCAGCCATTTTCAACAACATGAATGAACCTGGAAAACACAATGTTAAGTAAAATAAGCCAGGAAAGAATGACAAATACCACATGATCTTACATAGTATACGTGAAATTTTAAAAAGTTGAACTCATAGAAGTAGATAGTAGAATGGTGGTTGCCAGAGGTGGGGTATTAGGAGATGTTGGTCAAAGGATACAAAATTCCAATTAAATAGGAGGAGTAAGTTCAAGAGATCTATCGTACACATAGTGACTACAGTTAATAATGTATTGCGTTCTTGAAAATTGCTAAGAGAAGTAGATTCTCAGTGGTCCCACCACAAAAGAAAAAAGTGCGAATTAGCTCAATTTAATAAAAAAAAAGCTAGTTAACTCAATTTAATCATTCCACAATGTATACATAATTTAAAACAACTGTTGTAGATTAATATCTGCAATCTTTTGCTATTAAAAAACTTCAAAAAATTATATAATTATATATCCAATTTATATAAATTCAGATCGGCATATTCTAGGTATGTTACTACTATAATTCTGATATTTAATTGTTATAGTATAAATATTAAATATATATTCATATATTTGTTATTATATTAATAGATTAATCTGTCTCTATCATATGTTTATATATAATATCAGA